CTTCTTCTTCTTCTTCTTCTTCTTCTTCTTCTTCTTCTTCTTCTTCTATTTCTTCTTCTTCTTCTTGGAGGTAGATCACAAGTTTTTTGGGGGGTAGTGGATCTGGGAGGACTGGTAAGTGAATGTGATCGAGGTGCATTATGTGAAATTCCCAAATAATCAATGAAAATATTATGTTAGGGAAAAAAAGAAAGTGATAAAGGCTCAAATCTGAACTAAACTCTGCTAAAATGTAAGAAAACCATACTGGATAGAAACTCTACAGGGATAGCCTTTAGGCAGAGTTTGTCCCTGATTCAACATCAAAGGGTTCATACTGGAGAGAAATTGTCAACTGTCAGAGCTGTTGAAGAGCCTTCAGTAGAACCGCTCGTCCAACTCAACACTAAAGGATCAGCACTGGAGAGATGGCATAGAATTTATGAGCATTTGCTGTTCTTCTAGGGCCTGAGCTCAGTTCCCAGCACTCACATGGCAGCTCACAACTATCTGTAACTCCAGTTCTGGGGAATCCATGGCTTCCATGGGCACCAGGCACACATATGAATCACTTATACACATGCAGGAAAAACGCACATAACCATACAATAATAATAAATAAGTCTCTTTTAAAAATTAGCAAGAAACCCTGTGACTGTAATGAGATTGGTAGAAATTTCAGGCGTGACAGCCTCCCTTAAGTATAGGATACATCACAATGGAGATTTGCCATGAATGTTTGGACAAATACATTGAAGTTTTCATTTTTAAGTAGATTCAAACTTCCTCAGATGGTTACAAGTATCATATATTTTATTTGGAAGGATGACTCCCTACAAACTTTCTTCTGCAAGGTACTATCTGCTAGAATACCACACATTCAAGTGAAAAACAGTGATCTAAAAATCTATAATAAATTACTAAAATCTCAACATAAAAATGGTAATGCTTTCTTTTTTGTATTGTTATTGTTACAATGTGCATTCATCCTTCTGATAAATAGTGCTGACTGAGGCCTGAAGAGAATTCCAAATATCTCCATGCAACACCAAAAACAAAAACAAACAAAAAAACTTATCCTAACAGATGCAAAACCACAACATAAAAATATAAGTAACATGAAAACAAAGATAACATTAATATTACAAGGCTAACATTACATTAGCATTCAAAGATATAAAAATTATTAAAATGCCAATTAATAAACTCAAAGCCTAGAATTAAAAGTTATTAGCAACATCAAAGAAGATACAAATGAGCAGACAAATGAAGGAAACAATTCGATTCAAGATTTGGACAAGAAATTTAATAATTTGGATGAAAAATTCAGTAAAGAGACAAGAGAATCTGAAAAATAAAATCCAAACAAAAATCTAAGAGATAACAAGCTAAATAAAGTTCAATTAAAAACTCAATAATATGGGCTAGAGAGGTGGCTCAGAGGTAAAGAACACTTTCTTAGACCCTTAAACTATATTTTCCTTAGGCCTTTGAATCTAATTATTTACCATTAGACATAGGTGAAACTGCTATGAACATTTATTGTCCTTTAGCTAAAAGGATGGTAAAAGGTTCCATCTAAGGCCTGTTTCTTGAGTCTGGCAACAAGGCACATTGTGTCTAGGCTTGACAGTAGCAAACCTAGGACTGAGGCTTAAGGCCTGGTCTCCTGCATACGAAGAGAACTAAGAAGGCATCTGAAGTCTCTGAAGACAGAAGTTGACAATATGTCCATGGGAGCCAAGTGTTAAGCCAAAACAGACCTGCAATGTTACCCTGGACTGGGAGATGGTGGTAGAATCTAGGAGCCATTTGTCCTTCCACAGGTCAAGGAACTGGAAGGCCTGAAGTGTCTGTGGTTCTTGTGCTGGTTGAGCCTCCATGGCTCAGAGGACAAGCCTGCATGGGAGCATTTTGACTTCCAGAAGCCAGTCTGCCAGCAGGCAGGGTGTGGCTTATTGAAGCCTTGGCTATAACCCCACAGGATGGGGCATTGCAGACCTCTTGTTTTATGGTCGGGAATGCCAACAGCCTCAGAGCAGCAGCCAATGTCTGGAGCATAGTTTTTGCTGTAGCTGAGCCTGTCAGAA